GAAGTATTTTAAAGGCACTAATGTCCCCGCAGACCATCACGGATGCAGGTTTTTGAATTGAGTGCTGATAACAAGCCAGACCACAGAACAGTTTCCCATTTGGCCTCAGTCCATTTTAAATGAACTTTTGCCCAAAGCAGTGATTCAGAATTCACACATGACTTCTTCTTTCGTGATGGAGCTTTAACTTGCATTTGGGGATGGCACCTATTTATTCACAGACAGCAATTTCCAAAAGTGTTCCTGAGCCCATGCAGTGACTTCCAGCTCATGGTCCAAAGATCACAGACGTGATTTTGGACCTTGTCACCTGTACTCAGAGATTTCTCCAGATTCTCTCTTTTGATGATCTTCCATGTACTGTAGATGATGAGATGTTAAAAGTCATCACAATTTTACAATGTGGAACATTATTCTGAAATTGTTCCATAATTTGATGATGGATTTTTTTACAGACTGGTGAATCTCTGCCCATCTTTGCTTTTGAGAAACTCTGGAGAAAACCTATTTTACACCCAATCATATTACAGACCTGCTGCCAATTGCAAATCATTTTTCAAAATGCAGGTTACATATTCTTCCATGTGAAAAGTCCAGTTGTGTTCAAATGAAAAAAAAAAAATATTGATGCATACCTCTGAGCAGTGGTTTTTAAGACTCATCGCACTTAACTGATTTGTTTTCTGCTCACCTGAAATACTTTACTTTGAAAGGGTGTGCAAAGTATTTGAGAGCCAGTGCTGTAGTCAAACGATGTTCTCCCTTCAAACGAGTGCAGGAGGAAATGTTTTGAATCGAGTGAGAAAACACGTAAAGATGACTGAGAAGCTTTCGTAAAATGAATTAAAACCTCCTTCAAGAGTCTCGATCTTAGTTAATAGTTTTAATACTGTAGTCGTAATACAAATTCTGAAGAAGAAGCACAGGTAAACAAATGAAGTAGATAATCATAAAGCTTTGCATGACACAATTCGCCTTAAATCAGTGTAGCTTTGTTACAGCACACAGTAATATTTTTTGTAACTGGGTTATAATTTCTGTAATAGCTGTTGAAAAATTTCAGTCTGGAAAAAAGTGGTGGGCTAAAGGAGTGATTGAATCAACAGCACCGTGAACACTGGGAGGCTAAAACTGTCCCGATACCTTGATGCTGGACTAAATGTTTCCATCTATTACTCCTGCTTTTGAGACTGATTTGAGAATACAAGCTGTTTTCTCCAGTAGATTCATACTTGAGCACATCGCAGCTCAACAGGGTCGCAATAACATCAACACACAGTTTCGCATCTGATGTGCTTGTTAAAAAGAAAAAAGAGACGAACTCCAGAAGTCTCCATTACTCACAAGAGGATTTTAGGCGTTAGTTAAATCGCACACCAACAGCCACGTTCGTGCACACTACCAGAATAATCCTATTAACTTGCACTGATAATGCATGCACGACGATGTGTAAATTTTCCTCCCGCTTCCTCTTAGCTGCTTTGTTCTGATGCTTCGTGTGTTTTCCTTCAGGGAGAAGCTGAGCGAGCTCCGACGGGAGAAGCAGAAGTTGGTGGAGAAGATTATGGATCAGTACAGAGTCCTCGAGCCCAACATGCCATCCCCAGCCAGCAAGGCCAAGTATGTTATATAAATTTGTTTACATGTACAATACACCAAGCTGCTAATGTATTTGTTAATTACACCCGTGCATTATATAATACAGGAGTGAGTGATATTGATTTCATGTAGAAAGGCAGTTGAAGCTGTTGGAGCTGTTGAAGCTGTTGGATATGATAGGTGTAGGTCAGATTCCCACCAGACACAAAAAAGATGGGCACCGTTAGTGATTAGCTGGCGAACACAGCAGATAAAGTTGCAGTGAAAGAGCCTGAGAGATCCCTCAGGAGGTAGCGGAGACAAAAAAAAGAGTTAAAGGAGAGTAAACACTGACTTTAAATTCTCAACTGTTCCCTGAAATAAAGACTAAACCTAAGTAAATTCACTTTTTGTAAACTCGTAGTTTAAGTTTAAGGAAGCCGTAATACAATCTGGATTCGTACACTTTATTAGGGACAGTTCAGCCACTGTTTGTTTACCTCATTACAAATATGGAAACTCCACTACTTTAATATTTTTATCCTCTTTATTTACGTGCATGAATGTACACTTAAAGACACCTTTTTAAGTAAAACAGAAAGTAGAACAGAAAAATGAGGCTACGGTTTACTCGGGCTCACCAAAACTGGACAATAGAAGACTGGAAAACGTTGCCTGGACTGAGGAGTCAGTTTCTGCCGTGACTTTGGCTGTAGCTTAGGTGGCAGAGCAGGTCAGCCACTAACCAGAAGGTCGGTGGTTCGATCCTAGGCTGCTCCAGTCAGCATGCCAAATGGGCAAGATACTAACCCCATGTTGCTCTCCGATGCATCCATCGGAGTGTGAATGTGTGTGACTTAGGTCAGAAAAAAGTGCTTGTGTGAATGGGTGTGATTGGGTGAATGAATTAGTTGTATAGAGCGCTTTGAGTGCTCAGACAGAGTAGAAAAGCGCTGTATAAGAACAAGACCATTTACCATTTACTTTCATGTGTAAACAACATGAAACCATGGATCCGTCCTGGCTCCAATAGTTCAGACTAGTGGTGATGTTATGGTTTGGGAGATATCTTCTTGGCACACTTGTACCTGCTGAGCATCGTATAAGGACCACAGTCTGTCTGAATGTTGTTGCTGATCGTGTCTTTTCCTTTGACACAGCGTACTGTCTTCTGATAGTTGTCTCCAGACGGACCGTGTCACAGATCATCTCACAGTGCCAACAAAAACAGAACATTGCAGAAAATTAGACTTAGTTGCAGAGTAGCTGCACTGGATTGTTTTACATTGACTGTTTATTAAGTGTGTGGCGAGCCAAGTGTTTCGTGAAGATCCATTTGATATTGTTAAAGTATACATTTTTAAAGTGTTGCCGTTAGGCATGCACCGATACCGATACTGGTATCGGGTATCGGGGC